TTACGTTACTCAACACCTACGAATTAGCATTTGTGTATATTCTTCTACGTTCAGATACCTATATCGCAAAAATAAAAATAAAAAGTACCTCAAAGCATCCAGAACACATGCATGCATTTGATTATATCAAATGATGCAGTTAAAGAGACGTTACATTACTCAACACCCACCCACGAATCTCCCTCTCTTTCCAAAACAAAATGCCAAAAATAAAAAACATTGCATTGGAATGAAGGTACACATACTTAACTTTTGATATATTTCTCCATAACAGACATACAGCTACATCTAGTGGCAACAAAAAATACTAATTAACATTCTATCTAAAAAGTCATATGTGGTACACCTGGCCAGTACAGTGAATTAAATGGTGATTCAAATAGGACACACCTGGCCGTGAGGTAAGTTCGCTGCTGATGCATATATGACATGCCTGTACCAAAAGGGTTAAGTCCTATAATCCTGGTTAATGTGTTTATAATGTTTGTGGGAAGTTAAAATTGTGAATAAACTTTATTTCATCATTTGGATCATAAATAAAGTGCTTGAATTGTTAGAAACCATGTGTGGTAGTTGGTGTGATCTAAAAATTGCAGTATGGAAACAATGCTAGAAACTGTAAATAATGCTTTCAAGATATATATATATGCCAAAGCATTTTTTATAATTCATTATTCAGCTTCCAGACTCTGAAGCAAACTTTAGCTGTTCTCAAACTAATTGAAGAAAAATGAACGTGTTATATATTCTTGTTGCATACAACAACATAATCTTTAAAACTGTGACTTGTGTAAGTTGTAATTGCTCTTTAGTAATGCAGTGTCAGAATATGCAGGTTTCAAATTAATGTATGTAAATAAAATTGCAAGTTAAGTATCTGAATCAACATCACCACAACCTGATTACTGCTAATTAGGACCACAGATTTTTGGGCTCTGTGAATTATCTGATTTGTGTGAGACAGCCACAGTATTTGTTTTATTTATAGAAGCCAGAATAATGAGTTTCAGAGGGCCTTGAAAGAATGTTGTGGATATTGCCATGATCCGTAATGCATATTAAAAAACAAGCTTTGATTTTCCTTCTCTGCAGTGGCATTAGAAAAGAATCAGAGAATCTTGCTATCAGATATAAAATGAGGTATAGAATCAATGAGGTATCAGATATAAAATGAGGTTGTATGACAAATTATTTCAATGTAGAGTTTGGATTATTTTATAAATTCCATGTTCTTTTCTCTCTTAATTATTTTTAAAATAATATTTTTGTCTTTTCTTTGTATGCTCATTTATAAATAAGGTAAGCTGAATAGAATACCTGTTTTTACACTACCTGAAAGTTACTGCCCACAAAGTATGTAATCTGAGAACTGGAGACAGGCCATGCTGTGTGGGTGTTCAAGTTCTGCCCCACACAAAGGTGCCCTTTTAAGAAGGTACATAATAACAAATTCTTTTAAAATGCTGTTAGATGTGAAGCAAAATCTTAATGCAGAGCCATTTTTAATAGATGATATAAGTATTCTTTCGTGTACTATAAAAATAAATATATCTGAGCTAAGAATCTCTTATTATTTAACTTCAGCAATTCAGAATATGTTACAACTTTACGCTGCTGTATATAATATGGATCTTGCTGTTAATTTTTGGAAATTTCATGACTGTTGCAGTAGCCTAAAACAAACAAATTATGTGAAAACTTCATGAAAAGCAAATATCACAAATTCCATTTTTACTGAATCAGTCCTTTGAAACTTATTCAAATGCTATTTTTTCTAAAGAATTTCTGAAAAATGTTTCTCCCCAAAAGTAAGGTAATAAATTCCATGTGCAATTTTATGTTTTGTTATAAAATCTTAAAATGAAATTGCCCTTTTTTACATTTATGATTCAAAATTATGCTAGCAATTGAGTTTAAGATGAACAGGATTTAGATTTCTGTTAGATCTGATAACTCCACATTCTCAGAAATGACATTTTTTGTTTTGAATATCTTCAATAATGCCAGTGTTGGCCTCATGTTAGCCAAAATGTACAATGCCTAGCAAGATAAATCTCAAAAAGCAAGCAAGCAAGTAACTATGTGGTAACAAGTGGGATACCGTCATGTTGTATTTGTTGGGAATTTACATTTCCATTAAGGATTTTTACATATGAATTGATTAAGGTTTTTTACATATGAATTGATTAAGGATTTTATTGCTAGCAGAATAGAAATGTAATGAATAGCTATGATTGTGGAGGGGATATAAGTGCATGAGTGGTTTTCCACGATTTGTCTGCTCATACCCCTTCACGACATTTGCCATATTTCTTGCAAGAATTCAGTAAATTTTATAAGGTATCACGTAAAATGAGTAGGCATGAATCATGGATGACAGAAGGAGATAGATTGGAGGCAGGCTAATCACAACTGTAGGTCCCTTCACGACATTTGCCATATTTCTTGCAAGAATTCAGTAAATTTTATAAGGTATCACATAAAATAAGTAGGCATGAACCATGGATGACAGAAGGAGATAGATTGGAGGCAGACTAATCACAACTGTAGGTGGCTTCAAATCTCAATGCTTAGTGTCATCTGAAATTTATTGAAATGGCTTCAGGACGCTGAATCCACATCAAGACTTGCACAAGGTCGACCAAGATCCACAATGACAACTGAAAATCGTTATCTGGCAATTTAAGCACTGTGACTTAGGACTGCTACAACTTCAAAGCTCTCACACGAGCTATATGCTGTGACTGGAACCCAAATTCCATAGTCTAGGGTTGCCTGAAGGATTCTTAAGATAGAGTTGCATTTTAAAAGACCCATTGTTTGCATCCTTTTCATTGGAGCACACAAAGCAAGCACATCTAGCATGGTGCAGACAACAAGTGTCTTGGATCAGACTTAAATGCAGCACTGTGCTTTTTGCAAATGAGTTGAGATTCAACATGGATTATGATTCTCGGCATACCTGCATATAGAGAGAGCCTGGAACACAATATCAACCCTTCCTCATCAGGAAAAGATTATTACAGTTCTAGAGATATAATGGTAAGCATATTATGGTAAGCACTGGATGGTTGAAATCCCCTGTATGGGTTTGACAAAGGCTGTCTGATTGCTATGAGGTACAGAGAGGAGATCGATCATACAGCCCTGTGTTTGCCTTTCAGGGGCACAAATGGTCCTGGATTCCTGTTAATGGATGACAGTGCTTGTCCACATAGGCTCGGCTGATTGATGATTACCTGAAAAATGAGGATTTTTGCCACATGGATTGGCCAGCCAGATCTCTTGAATTTAACCCTATAGAGTATGTCTAGGATGCTCTTCAAAGAGCAGTTTCATCTCGTCATTTCCCTATGAGGACTATCCCAGAGTTCAAAACAACCTTGCTGCAAAAGTGGGATTGACTACCACAGTATCTCTTCACCTGCCTCCTATATAGTATTCCATTATAATGCATGTCCTGTCTGGCTATGAGAATGGATCATATCCCATATTAGACTCATTTTCAGTCTGATATCACAATGTGGATTTTGGACATCTCTGTACTATGAGCTTTACCAATTATCAGGTGCACATAAAACGACTTTTGAATGGTACATCTTTTTCTGTGTTATAAATGTATATGCATATCAAATTTCTTTAACAGAAATTTGACATAATGGGCAAATTCTCTTTATTTGTCATGAATGTATATGGTGTATCCGTAAAAGTCCTTATATGAACCCTTTTCCACCCACAACCATTGCCCATAGACATATACTTCCAGTCACAAAAATGTATTATTTAAGGTAACTATTCATGTCATGATAGTTTTAAATTAATAAGTCAGTTTTGTTAAAGTTATGAAATCTTAAATTTTTTACATGGTACTCTTGTCTGTATAGTATTAATTAGTAAAATTTAGATTTACTTTAAGCGTAAAAATGTTTGACACCCATGCTCCAAAAACTGACCTATTTAATTTTAAAGTCTGAAATCCTATTTCCTGAAAATGAGGGGTCATTTACAAATTAAAGAGAAAAATATTTAAATTCATATGCAACTAAAAATATCAGTTTAAAAAAGGTTTCTGTTGTTAATTTATTAAGCGACGTGCATTGATTTGCTGACTGTCTTGAAATTCTTTTACATTACAAATTTTTTTGTATTGGTCTTATTCAGAGAATCTTAAAGTGTTTGTGTTATAAAAAGCAGTGCTTCAGCATTGTAACTAGACAACTCATAGTATTTTATGTATCAGTTAAAGGTGAAAATTATTTATAATCTAATGAATTATTTTTTCTTACTGACTGTTAGATTATGTCCCTAAAATATTAAAACTGCATGTGAATATTATTAACATATTTTAACTTTGGAAAACTAATAAATTACTTGTGTAAAAGTGCTACCAGTGTATCAAATATAATAAAATTAGGAATTATTGAATGGTATACACTAGTAAGTTGCAAAGAAATGTTGCTGAATATTTTTGCAGTGAAAATCTAAAAACATCACAAACTTTGAAAGTAAATAATTTGATTAATTATTGTGTTATTGCAAGTAAATTTGAATTAATTGTATGTTACTGTAAATAATTTTTACAATTTTACAATTTAAAAATGCTGTAGTATGAATATTAGCTTTATTTCAAATATTTTGTTGGAAGTATATGGTTGACAAACAATTATGGAAACAAAACTATTTAAGAACTTTTGTGGATCTACTGTATAAATTTGTTTCATATTTTATTATCTTTATCTGAAAGGCTACCTTAGTGGAAATGGTTTTTTGACTGAATTCACAGCCACTGAAGAGATATTTAGAAATGCATTGTTTCTGAAACACTCTCTATATAAACTATTTTTGCATTCAAATTCATGCCTTTTGTACCTTCTGATATGTGTATTTTTTAAAGATTTGTTTTAACAGTATTCAGTATGAATATCATAATAAAGTTTTTGTATGAAAAAAAAAATTTTGTATGAATAATATTTTTCACTAGTATGTGTTACATTTTTTAGGACCATGACGAAGATTATGAATGTTGTGCTATATGTATTGAGCCTTTCCAGCATGGTGAATTGATAAGGTCTTTACCTTGCAAGTAAGTTCAAATGCAGTAGTATTGGCCAATGATCTTGGAAGAAAATTATGCAACTTTTTTACCCCTTTTCACTGACATGATTTGTTTCTAAGGCGCTGTTTTTGTGTATTTGTTGATGTTGACAATTCTTGTTTTCCTCTTTTTTTTTGTTTGTTTTGTTTTGTTTTGTTTATGTGTATGCGTGCGGGCATGAAAAGAAAATAATCTGAGAATTGCTATGTGTAACCTGAAGTGTAAAAACTTCTTTGTGCCCAATATGTAGTACTAAGTTTAGAAAATACTTTTATAGTGACCTTACTGCATTATAATGTTAGTCTTTTCTTCTTACACAGGAACACACCCAATTTTTTCTGTCATTATACAATAGCTCATTCATGTTTATAGTTATCTGATTCCAAGCCAGTATTCTGAATGTAAAAAACTGCAAAATACTTTGAACCTTACATAGTATACTTTTTAATATAATATTCACATCTGTGGCATAATTTGCTTTTAAAATAATGCACATTAGAACAAGAAAGTTAATTAATTCAAAACAATAGTAGTATTAAAAATGATGGTACAGTAATAAATTGAAAGATAGAGCGTGTTTATGTACATTTGTACTTATATCTGTGAATGAGTGCATATAAAAAGGTCAGATGTAAAATGGTGTAATCTTCGAAGTTTTTATTTATATATTCAGGGACAAAGTTCAATTATATCCATAATTCTGTTATCTCACTCGATTTGTATAGTAGATTGCTAGTATATAGCAATTGATTTATACAATCAAGTAATTAATTTTGCATTTATGTTAAATGACAGTTATTAAAAAGAATAGCTGTAGATGTGTAAAAAATCTGTACTTGTAAACTTCTATATTTCTAAATGAAAGTTTAAAATGGTTCACAATAGCAGAGGGCTTTGGTAATTTAGTAAAGTCATCATAGGTACATTCTATTTTGCAGTTTTGAAGAATAGCCATCAGTTCAGATTTGTCGCAAAAGAGTAATTACACCCCTTGGGATTGCTTTACTTACCGAATGGAAAAACAAGTTTTGAAACGTACGCATACAAAAGATGTATCTTTCTTAGAAACATAAATGGCAGATGTGATAATTTGAACATATGCTTTCAATCATTTGTTTCCTCTTAACAAAGGTTTCTTTCTTGTGTCGCTAGCAAGTTCCTAGCAAAGTCTTGTTCTGTTCTAAATATGCTGTGTTCGAACTTTGTGAATGATATTCCATCCATTATTTTTAATTTGAAACAATATTAAGTTGTAATTACTGGTTAAAATGGCTTAAAATAAATTGATACATTATACGAAAATTTGTAAACATGAAAATTGGATCCACTTCCTATCACATAATTTCTGACCAGTTCTTCCAAAATATTTTAAAGCTGTCTTTAGAACATACTAGAGAAAGATTTTCTTGAAGCAACAATCTTCGTTCATTCTAGCCAAATGGCCAGCCCATTTATGTCTCTGTAATTTGACAAATTTTTCAATATCAGGTTATTTGTAAATTTTAGAGTTCTCAATTAGATCTTCTTCTCCATGATCCATTTACTTGAACCTCACCAAGAATGCAACGAAAGATCTTTCGCTAAAAAATTCCCAAAGCTTCCTCATCACGTAAAGTTAATGCCCTAGACTCTGATAAATCAAGACAAATCTTACAAGACTTTTGTAAAGAAGCAATTCAGTTCTTAATTTAAGAAATCTGGAGTTAAATAACTTCAGGGCATAAAAACATCTATTTGCAGCAATGATTCTTTTATATATTTCTGTGGCCAACACATTTTTTATTATTTATCTCTTTTCCCAAGTAAGTAAAACTGTTAACTTTTTCAAATTTATAATTGCCAATTTCTAAGTGACTAAGTTGTAAGGCAGACTTTAAGAAAGGTAAATATTTTGTTTTATTTTCGTTTACAAATATATTATTTCTTTTAGTACTTTGTTCCAATGCCATAAAAGCCTGTTTGAGAGACAGTGCAGTTCGGGCAATAATGCCAATGTCATCAGCATAGGCCAATATTTGAACTGAGTAAAAATATTTCCTCTAATATTGATCTTTGCATCTCAAATTACTTTTTCGAGTTCTATGTTAAACAGGAGGCATGCCAGTGCACCTCCCCGTCAAACTCCATTTTTACCTCAAGCTATTCTGTGTAATCACCCTGTATTGCATACTTGAATTATGGTTTCTTTGAGAGTCAAGGCTATAAGTGCAACACATTTTTCTGGAATTTTAAATTCAGGCATAGCTTTTATGAGGAGTTCCCTGTTAATACAATCATATGCTGTTCTAAAATCGATAAAAAAATTGTGAGTCTGGATTCCAAATTCTCTACATTTTTCATGAATCTGCTTTAAGTTGAAAATTTTTTCAGTTGTAGAGCCTCTCTTCCTAAATCCACGTTGATAGTCGTCTATCAAGTTATCAACAAACGGCAAAAGTCTGCCAAAAAGAGTAGTAGACAGAATTTTATAGGATGTGCAAAGAAGACTTATTCTTCTATCATTACTACAGTCTAGGATATCATTTTTTTTTTTTTTTTTTTTTTTTTTTTTGTGCAAGTCAAGAAAAGGGTACTAAGTTTCCATTCTTCTGGAAGTGTCTCACTCTTCCAGATATGTTGAATTGATTCCTTTATAAGCTGTACGCATTTAGGTAATTTTAATCTTCATAGCAGACAAATTCAAGGTGGCCTCGTTCATAATCTTCTGTTAGTAAGATTTAAAATTGCAATTCGTTTTGCTTTAGGTCAGGGCTGTCCAATTGGCACGGCTCGCCAAATTATTTTTACAACCAGTGAGTACATTTTACTATGAATAAATTTATGTTACTAAATTATTATTATTATTATTAAAATTATTTTACTATTTGAAAATTTAAATCTAATTTGAATTTAAGGTAGGTACCATTTAGTTTGCGTAACTTCACTTAACCTGGCTGAATACAGCAGCAATCCGTTTAACGTCTGATGATGGTTGGCTCAACATTGGTGCCACATATTATATTTGTGGTTGGCTGTTGTTTATCTATGGACGACACACGTGATGCACACACTACCCTGTGCTATTTAGTTAATTCATGCAATTGTGAGTGCAGTCTTGTCTAGAATTTGTTGAAGAATGAATGTGTTATAATATTATTAACTTAATTTCACTGTGTTTGGAATGTTTACAAATCATAGCTGTGTGTAGAGAATATAACTTGAATACACGTGAGACATGAAAATACCACTAGTGAAAAAAATAAAAAAGCAGCTGGATCATCAAACGATTTATTGTAATCAAAAACCAAAAATTCAAGAAGCATCTGTAGCTGCATCTTTTGAAGTTTGTTTAGAAATAGTAAAGGCAAAGAAGCCATTTTTAAATGGAGAATTCATTAAAAAATGTGCAATAAAAATGGCTCGAGCATTTAATGACAGGTAATTAAATGGTAAGGAAATTTCAAACAATATCACTTTCTCACCAGACAGTAAGCTGACGTGTAACGAGATTAGCATGCATGTCACTAATAAATTAGAAAACCTAATCAATAGTTGCTGCTATTTTTCGGTAGTATTGGATGAAAGCACAGACATTTCCGATACAAGTCAAATGCTTATCTTTATAAGAACTGTAAATGAAGACTATAATTATTCAGAAGAACTTTTAAAATTACAATCGTTACACAGAACAACAAAAGGTGAAGATATTTACAAACAATTAAAATGTTCAGTAGAGCAGCATGGCGCATTTGACAAGTACAGTGCTATTGTAACCCACAGTGCTAGAGCTATGACGGGCAAAAATATTGGGCTCGCGGGACTTTTGCAAAATGAAGGAATAACATGTCGTATGTTACACTGTATTATCCATCAGGACGCATTATGTGGTTTATCCCTACAACTAAAAGATGTAATGGAGAAGGTTTGCAAAATTACTAATTTAATTCGCGGCGGAAATTGTTCTCTTGCACACTGAAAATTTAAAACATTTTTGGATGAAATAGAAACTGAGTATGGAGATCTGCTTTTACATAGTAACAATTGTTGGTTAAATGCTGGAAAGTGCTTGAGGAGATTCTTCACACTTCGAAAAGAAGTTCATCTTTTTCTCACAGAAATTGCTGTCAATGAAAATTTCACAGCAAATTTAGTTGATAAAAATTTTATTTATTCACTTGCTTTCCTAACGGACATTACAAATTATTTAAATATTTTGAATAAATTCTTGCAAGTATCATTCAGCATAAATATAGTATAAATCATTACAAGCATCATTTAGTTGAATAAATTTCATTTATTCACTTGCTTTCCCAATGGACATTACAAATTATTTAAATATTTAGAATAAATCCTTGCAAGGACAAGATCAAAATGTATGATGCCTTTATAAATATGTTACGGGATTTAGAAACAAATTAAACTTGTTAAGGTTTAATTTGGAGCAAAATAATTTATTTCATTTTGAATCTTGCAAAAAGATGTGCGAAGAAATGCAATATAGAAGCGAATTAAAAAATATATTCTACCAAAATTGGATATCATAATTACAGATTTCAATGAAAGATTTTCTCAATTTGATTATCTTAAACTGTCTATTGATTTATTTTGATATCCAATTAATATTGATATCAACTCCGTTGATCTTAATGATGAAATAGAATTATGCGACCTGCAGGCTGACCCTTTTTTACATCTCGTGGAGTAATTGGAATAGAAATATTCAAATTTTTAGATAAAGAGAAATACCCAAAATTGAGAGATTTTGGACTTCAGATTGTATCAATGTTTGGAAGTACATATATCTGCGAGTGTGCATACTCCGATATGAAATATATAAAGTCAAAATATAGAAATAGTTTGAAAGATTCCACTCTTGAAAATATAATTAGACTTGCCACAACAAATATTGATGTGGACATAAAAGATATTGTTGCTAAACAAATATGGTCACAATGTTCTCATTAATATATTACGAATATTTTCTTTTCAGTATAAATAAAATATTTTTTTAATTAACATAAACTGATTTTTCATTTATCAACCTTCTTGGCCCCTGAAATGTTTGGTGAAGAAAATATGGCCCACGGGCTATGATAAGTTGGACAGTGCTGCTTTAGGTATTTTTTAACCTTAAAGATAAAGCAGTATAAGAGCATTTTATAAATGTTTGGACCCGTGCACTGTCTTCTTTATTGCATTACTAGAATATAGATTTTATTCTTGTGCTAGAAAGCATCAAAATTCTTAAATCTGAATGATTGTTGCTGCAACAAGCATTCATTTCTTTATCTGTCTTACTATGCACTATAAACATAACTTTAGTAGTTTTAGAAGTTCATAATTAAGAATGCTAGGATGAATTTCTTTGCTTTTGTTAACATTTCACAAACTCATAATGCTTTTTTATTTGAATCAAAACTTTTATTTTTCACTACTAATTTATTACTTTCGCATTAATGGAATTATAAGCCTTCGTAAATCCAGCAAATAAAATATAATTCAACATATGTGCTGATATTTTCATTTTTTAGCAGCAGTATAATCAGCAAAAAATGTAAAAATCTCTCTATAGCTGTAAGTTTTTTTAATATGCATAAAGATATTTTGTGTAGTTAAAATGTGTATGTGTTGATCTGTATTTTCTTTATTTTTAGGCATTGTTTTCACAAAATTTGCATTGATCCATGGTTGCTTGAACAGAGATCTTGTCCTATGTGCAAATTAGACATTCTTTTGCATTTTGGCCTCATTGTAAGTATATATTTTTTTAATTAGCAGTTTAAAAAATCTCTATCTATATGTATGTTATGGTAAAAGAATCAGTATCCAGAATGTTGGTATTGATTTACTTTTTATCCAGAATGTTGATATTATTTATTCATATCAAAACTGGGAATGTAACTTCATGCCTTTCCAATTATAAAGATAGTACATAGATTATTATTTATACAGGGTTATTCTAAATTGTTTTTACAAATTAAGAGGGGTGATAGTACCCATCCAGACGAACAATAATTACTATAGAACATAGGGTCACATTCCACTCTGAGAGAAATATTAGAATTTCAACCTGAATTTACAACAGAGTTGGGAAAGTAAATAAACAAGACCAAGAGTTGTGTAATCAGATTTATTGTTTAGTGAAAAACTCGCAGAACGTGCTCAAAATGCCGACAACTCGCTGTTCCATTTCTGACATTGATGCATTTTAAGAACACTGTGCATTGCGTTTTGAGATGACAAAAGAACTGGTTTGTTGCATTCTTGGTTCAACACTGGAAAAGGTTGGATGACTTGGAATCTGATGAGTGGGGAAACCACTGTTCGTATAATCTTCATTCCCATTCCCTTTTGTTCCACCATATGTGAGGTGAATATCTGCCAATTCCTTGTATGTGTAAAGCACCATAGCATTCACAAAAAGTTTCGGAAGATGTTATGAAGATAATACTTGAAGTGATGATGTTGTGCCGTTTACAAGGACACCGTTTGCTTTGATTGGCTTTCTCTAGTACCAATTAAGAGTAAAATGCTGTTTCTTCAGAGTTCTAATCTGCATTCGGTTAATTCTTGATAGTCCTTAGGAGATAATCTCCTTTGTTCTTCCTTGATGCTGTGATGCTTCTTTGGTGATATGAAGCAACTCCAATGATGGAATACAGCAATAACTTTTATTTAACACTAAAAAAATGGCGACATGCAAAAAAAAAAAAAAAGAGAAAACATATTCTAACATTTAAAAATAAATTGCATTCTTCGTGCGAGAGTAAGTAATAACCTGATATCACTAATATTTCGTTCAGTGATGAACTAATAAAATAAGGCAATTCAATATCAACAGGAAGTAATAACCTGGTATCAGTAATATTATGTTCAGTGATGAACTAATAAAATAAGGCAATTTAATATCAACAGGAAGTAATAATCTGGTATCACTAATGTTACGTTCAGTGATGAACTAATAAAATAAGGCAATTCAATATCAACAGGAAGTAATAACCTGGTATCGCTAATATTGCGTTCAGTGATGAACTAATAAAATAAAGCAATTCAATATTAACAAGAAGTAATAATCTGGTATTACTAATATTATGTTCAGTGATGAACTAATAAAATAAAGCAATTCTATATGAACAGGAAGTAATAATCTGGTATCACTAATATTATGTTCAGTGATGAACTTATAAAATAAAAATACGCACGATTATTTGATCTCGTCGGTGTCTGCAAAATAATTAAGACTGTGATGCTTCTTTGGTGATATGAAGCAACTCTAATGATGGAATACAGCAATAACTTTTATTTAACACTCAAAAAAATGGCGACATGAAAAAAAAAGAGAAAACATATTCTAACGTTTAAAAATAAATTACATTCTTCGTGCGAGAGTCGCACGAGGCACTCGAGTCTGGTTTCAAATATTGCCATTCACAAATACCTTAATGTTCATCTATTTAAATTATTTAAACTACAAGATTTTAATATTATTTAAAGCTGTTACAATGCGTTTGTACTTTCCTAATTTCTACCTCTCAGAGTGGAATGCAACCCAATGTTTTATGATAATTATTGCTCGTCTGGATGGGTACTGTCCCCCCGCTTAATTTGTAAAAGCAATTTAGAATCACCCTGTATAGTTTACATTTTAAGTGTATGAAAAAGGGAAAAGGTATTTAATTGTTTCATAACTAATAAAAAATATGATAATTATGTAACATAAAAATGTAAAATTGTTGTGTCTTGCATGGAAAAATTTAATAAATTTATAACAGAATTCTCTCAATTACACACATAATAAAACACTTATTTTCAGGGGGAAAACTGGAGAAAAGTGTTCAGCTCAGCTAAAAGCTGAAAGATCATTACAGTGGGAAATCAGAAATATGATAAAATGCAAAAACAGAATGAATTATGCTTTTCTTGTTTAGGGATTCTCAGAATATAAGAAATAGCAATGCTTTTAAACAAGAATATGTACTGTAGCTGATTTTCTTAATGCTAACAAATTAGGTAACAGAAATACATTGTTGTATAGCTTACAAGAACAAATCACTTATGTTAAAGTGTAAAAAAAATTCCATCATTTGTAAAAAAAAATCATGATCCAAAATAAATGCTGCATTGTAAATTATGTCTGTTAAAATAATAACTAAAACTCCGAACATTTCATGGCATATGGTATTTCGTAAGCAAAATCAGAGGCTGCCATTGCTGTTTAGATATGCAATTTGCATGAAAAATTTCATTGACCATCACCAATTAAGTCGCCTGCAACTTTCCATCCCATCATGCTCAGTGATCATAACTCTTTGTGCAAATGCCTGAGACCTGCCACACCAGCAATATGTCTCTCCATGCAGATGGATTGGTGTAGGTGCCACAGACATTGGAAGGTACTTGTTTGGATATTATTTAGCTTCTTGTAGACAGACTTTAATACTTCACCTACAGAGATGCTATATTTGTGAGGCAAAAGCTGAAAATTTTAATTCTGTTAGTAGAATGGCAAACGTGGAAGTAGAAACAATGTTTATGACTTAGAATATTGTTATTACATGGATGAATATGTTTTTACGGAGGCCTTCTGTCCTTAGCATAGAGTGCCAATAGAGAGAAGACTAGAAGAAACTGAATAAACCAAAACTACTTTCACAAGCTAGTTTGAAAAATTCCATACTAATAATGGCCAGTTATGTGCTATGCTTTCAGCAATTTAAAGTGATGGGATAATTGTAAAATATATCTTTGAAATCCCTGTACTCTGAAATCTGAAAATCTGAAATGTGGATGTTTATTAAATTAAAATAATGAACATAGCATTAAGAGTTTTAGCTATCTATCTCTGATTTAATGCATGTTCTTAATATGGTTAGGTATTTTATGAGAAAATATCCATGTTACTGTATGCTACATTTCTCATTAGTGAAGCTTTAATAATATTCTATGTTTTTGATACTGATAGAGGAATTAACAAAGTGGTGAAAAAATTGTACAATAAAAGTTTCAAAGCACAGTATTTTAGTTAATAAAAAGTAGTTGGGATTGTGTTCTAGTTAATAAAAAGTAGTAAACATGCTTATTGTAGTTAGTAAAAAGTAGTTGGGAATAACGCAAGGAAGATGCTTTTATGTGTATAACGCTCTTATCCTATTATAACTGGCAAATAAAAACTACAAACAGAAAGTATGAGAATACACTGGAAACATTTAATGTGAGTTAATTTTGTTTATAAATAAATTTTCATTTAAAATAATTGTGTTAAAATAGTATTTAAACCATCTTGGAATTAAGATTCCAATCACATTGTGAAGCACTTTCCTGCTTAGTTTCAGGCTCATGTAAGAACACGCATACTAACCATAAATTTTTGCCTGTAAAGATGTTATTCAAGAAATTTGTTCTTCTCTCAAGGGCAGTAGTTATAATAATCAAACAGGTAATGAGACATACTCTAGTTTGAATTACTTCCCATTAAAACATCTATCAAGGAATGTAACCATAACAGCTTGGAAGAAGCTTATTTCCTGTTCTGAATTAATAGATAATAGCATCATATTTCACTTCACATGATCAGGCTTATTTGTGAATTCCCACAAAAGATATTAACTGTTGCTTTATTTGAAAGTATTCTGTTAAAAATATTATGAAACCTTAATAATGAAAGTTTATTGTTTTGGCTGTGTACTGAGTATCAGTTTATGGTGTTTAAACATGTATATACATGTAACTGTGATTTATATATGTATATACGAGTAAATATATCTATAAATCATAAATATGCATGACTATGATGTACTTATTCATAAGCAGAAGTTTTTATTCTTATTATTTTTTTCTTTTTAGTATACTGGTAGCCAAGAGAGTATGTTAGAAATTGAAGATGAAGAGTTTAGAAGACCCCGTCATAGCTTAGTAGAGCATGAAATTCTTTTAGTTCAAAATCAGAGACGCCGTTCAAGTGTTAGAGTTGCTATATCTCGAAGAGAAGACAGAGCTACATCACCTTGTAGCCTATCATCGTTAGATCCTGATGCTGCAGTTGTCGAGCAGTCATTTGTTACAACTACTGTTGATGTTTCAGATGTTGCTGTTAATACTAGTGATCCATCAGAGGCAGATTATGAAAGCAGTGAAGAAAGATGGACTTCACTATTCCCTCAAAAACTCACAAATAGAAAACTAAGTCAAAGTCAAGAATCTGTTCATTTAAACTATAACTGTTCTAGTAATAAAGCAGACACAGAAAACTATGAAGTCTGTGACATAAGTTTTGAAAATTGATATTGTGTAAGTAAAAATGGTGAGATAATCCTTTTAATGTGATACTTTATTTTGTGAGATATGCTTGTTATCTGTTACATTCTAACTAATGAAAATTATCTGTTACATTCTAAAATAATTATTTTCAGTAAAGGAAGGATGTGTAACTAACTACTTTTAGCTCGCATTCAACTGAGAGCTTTGAGCATGCTGGCAATAATCTGGTCTTCAAGCCACTGAGTAATATTATAATGTTAAAAAATGCTATGATATGGTCTATAGTGATGGATTCATAACTGTTCACATACATGATGCTGAAGCTAGATTGTTGGTAGTACATTTGTTATGGCATTCTGTTTTAAATATCATCCTATTAATTTTGTCATATATGAAATTTTAGGTATGTATTTTATGGATCAGTTCTAAAAGGTATTATAAGATTAATTAGATAATTAATATGAAAATAAAATTTTGTCGTGTTTCTAATTTGCAACCTTTGAAAATTATACTTTACAAAATATTTTAGGTATGGGAATAATAAATTTTCTAAATCTAAAATTTAGAAATCTGAAAATTTTTATACTTGCTATCTAGTAATAAAAGTTTTAAAATCTGTGATGTCTAATAATTGTTTAAGAACTTTCCAAAGCAAAATAAGTAAGATAATATTAAATATCAAAGCAAAATAAGTAAGATAATATTAAATATAACAAAATTAGATAAAAATTCCTTTGCCTCTTTGAAAACTGTATCATATGAAGATATTGGGTTATTGCATCTAAAAATGTCCAGTTTTTTAAGATAAAAGGAAATATGTTTGTTTGGAGGTCATTACGTTTAGTAACATATTTAATAGCAAGACATCCATTTTACTTTAGTAGACATTGGACAGTACTGTACTCAGGAAAGTTATTATTTTGAAAAAATGAAGTCTAAAATATCTGCATTTCAGTGTAATAAAATTTTATTGCCCAAAATATGACCAAATTCCTCAAAACATATTAATCTGTGTAATTAATCAGGATAATTTTCGGGTGTACATAAAACCTCTTATCTCAAAATTTCTCATTTTAATTATGTTGTTCAGCGGCATTGGAGTTATTTAATTTGTTATGAAGGATACACTTTCACATTTAATTTGTTCAAGCTTACAGGAGTAACAGACGGACATAAATGTTAAATGACATGAATAATATCTTAATGACATAAATGTTAAAAACTTAAATTTCTGCATTTAAATGTAAGAAAATTTTATTCTCAGATGATGATAAAGTTTCTCAAAACATAATGACAATGTTAATCAGGAAAATTCCAGGCTCTAGATATAATCGGTCTCAAATTTAGCATTTCTAGCATATTATGCAACAGTATTTTACTGGGTTAATTTATTATGAAGGAAGTGTTTTCATGTTGTCTTCATGCAAGCTTACTATAGCAAAGACTAACATGATTATCTCAACAGTAAAATTTCTTCATTAGAGTGTAAGAAAATTTTATTCCACAAAAGATGGCCAAATTCCTCAAAAGTAATCAACAGAATTGCATGGTGAAGGTAACATCTCTCATCTTAAATGTTACATTTTCAGCATGTTGTGCAACTATATTTGAGTGGGTTAATTTATTAAGACAAAATGTTTTTGAATTTAATTTGTCCAAGCCATTCATAGCAACAGACTGACATTATTATTTCAGGATGAATATTTCTACACTGTAGAGTTAGAAAATTTTATTCTACAAAAGATAACTAAATTCCTTGAAACAATCTGTATGAATTATCAGGAGAATTCCAGAGTGTAATGAAGAGTGTTCCAGAGTGTTCTTATCTCAAATTTCACATGTCAGCATGTTGTGTAGCAGTATTGTACTGGGTTAATTTATTATGAAGGAAATGTTTTCACATTTAATTTTTTTTTTTAATCTACTGTAGTGGCAGACTCTCATGATTCTTTCACCTGCCTGTAAAAATGAATGATGCATCATCATGTTGGAAAAAAGAAACTTTTAGCAGCTTTGAATGTGTCTAATTGTGTGATTGTTTTTGATTGCCTCATATGTTTCTTAGTAGTATATATTTAGTGTGTAATTTGGTCTCTTTAATGCGGCATTGGAAAGTTAATAGCATATTCCAATTGCTATTTGTTTTATTATTGTGCGATGTATTTTTAAAGTGTATTCTGAGGCTGCTGAAGGAGTAATTGTGGAAAAACAATGCTTTTAGATATAAGTATACAGAATCTGAATCTTTCTGGGATGCTCTAGCATTTGCTCTAAAATCATGTGTTATGTTATAGCTCTTTTTGTGTAAAAAATAAAGAATGTTTAAAGTTCATTCTACAACTAGGTGATATAGTACCAAATGTTTGATATGCTCACTTGAGTAATTTTAAGATTCTTTTTATCAGATATATATCTTTATAAAATTTATAGAATTTTCTACCAAATTTGGTTTAATATTTCCGATTCATATTGAATTATATTTAAAAAATTCCTCAGTACAAATTTAATATATGTTTCGCCTAATTTTTAATGATTTCATATATAATTAGGAAAGAAGAGATTCATGTGTAATGTATCATTTCTTAATTTCTTGAGAATGAAATTTTTGCTTATCATATTTTTTCATATTTTAGCAACAAAAGCTCTCCAATAGTTCAGCATAAGCTTATTTATAAATTGAACATTCAAAATAAAAAAAAAAGTAAATATTTCAGGAAATATGTCCATTAAAAATGATAAAAATAAAAGTTTGCTTCCTATACAGGAAATTTTCTACAACATTTTAGAATTATTATTTAAAACATGATTCATTGTAAAAAATTAAATGAAACATACATTTAAGTGTATGAAAAGCGAAACACATTTTATATCCATTTTCATTGAGGCTCAGTTTTCTGTATGTACATTATGTGCTGGTATCTTATATTGTCAACCTATTCGTTTTAAAGAACTGTAATAACTCAGAAAGTGACTTGCACTGTAAGTCAAGATTTTCAATTTATGATTATCAAGGCTACATATTCAACACCTACTGCAAGTCATTATTTCAAAAAAAAAAAAAAAAAAAAAAAATCCGTTTTGTTAACAGATATACTGATTTTTGTTGTAAAGATGAAGTTTGAAACATAATGCAAGTTACAGTTGTTTTGCAGACTTGTTTTAGAAACATGCAAGCAATAAACAGAGAATGCTTATCATTGCTTTGGAGGTGATGTTAAGGTTCCTTAATTACTAAATATATCCCATAGTTAGACTGATTTTTTTTCCCTTTAAATTGTCAGCCTTTTGTACTATGTAGTTTTAAATTGCTGTTGATTATTATGTGATGCAAAAATTTAATTCAGCATTATATGTCACAGTGTTCTGATACATCTTTATTGTGTATGTAGTTCGTGTGTGTATTTTTGTACTTGGATATTGATTTAGGATGTGTGATAATCATAGCTTGTGCACACCAGTAAACTTATGATACTACCACATCTTAAGTTTTAATTTTGCTGATATTAGCAGGGTGATGACCCATTATAGCAGTTGAGACATTTAACTTTTCCTGAAAAGCTGTTACAATTGAAAGACTAGCTCCCACAAATGTTGTTAATAATACTTGTTGGTCTTCTTTTCTTCTTCATTGAGATTTAAACCTCAATTGTGTAGCTGTGTAAACCATAAGGGCATCATCCTTTATTTTAAAGTGTCTTTTTAGGTGTGATCACCTATTTCCTAGATAAAGGGTTGATATCTGTGTAACACAAGAGGTGCAACAGAGTCAGAAAAAGTAATGAATGGAAAAACTGGTTCAGTTTCTACATTTTCCTCAATGATATTAGGAATATGTGTTATGATTATAATTAAAGAAATTAAATTTTAATGAAACTTGAAGTCTAGGTTACTTTAGCCATAAAAAATATGAAAAAGAAATCTGAAAGTTTTCAGATTTTATATTACGCCTGAAGGTGTATTTTTTTTATTTATTTACACATTCATATATGTTACAAGAGCATTTGGGCTTAAAAACATTTAAAAACAGCATATCTTCAGAATTTCCAATAGTTGAATTTTCCAATGTGTCATGCGCTTTAGATAAAAATATTTGTTCCATACAGTGTGTTGCCACTGCTCGCTTTGAAATTGTTGGGTTTCTTAATATAAAAATTCCATTAAAGTTTTAAAAATATGAAATAAATTATGAAACAAATTTGAAATTCAAGATTTGGGCTTCCAGGTGTCCATATTTGGGTATAGAACTGCATTATTCAAAATTTGATGGCTCCGAGTATCGTTTTTTCACAATGCGAGAAACGTACATCCATACATTCATGCAGATTCTTCATTATTTAATTTAAGTCTAATACAGGGTGATAATATTTGGTGGCAACAATTTGAAAAATGATAAAGCCGTTTATAGTGATTCAAAGCAAAATGCTGGTTTGAAGACTAATAACCCTTCTGGGCTAATGCCGCTTTGGGCTCATAAAAATTGCTTGCCCCTATATTACACTTTTCAAAAGAAATTTTTTCAAAATAGAAACTGTCAATATACACTCCTTTTACATCTACGATATGTTGGAAATGTAAGACAGCATGATTAGTCATCATATGAAGAGATTCCATGAGTCATCTGAGACATGCAGCATTATACTGGCTTTTTTCTTGGGCTGAATCTGAATATTTGATCTGAATAATTCCTTGCTTAATGTGGTTTTTAGGAATCTTCATAGCCTGAAAACAAAATATGTTTAAGTTAATATTTACACAAAATTGTTTAAGTCTGAAAATGAGGATGCCAAGCTTCTGGAAAACTTGTTGAAATCACATGAGCATTGCCAACATTGGTAGAAGCCAATACATTTACTTGTTGGTCAGCATAATATGCATTTCTATCTTTCTTGAAAAATGCTAACATTAAACTTTAAATCAAGTCTGGAATCACATTCTGGGAAAATAATTGACAATAATGTACACTTGTAATGGCTTACTTTTCTGGACTTTTAGGTGTTAGCTCTTCAAAGAAATGTTGATCCTGAACATAATTAACAATAACTCCATACAGCATTGTCACATAATTATAGAATACAAAATGCATTGAGTTTTCATGTACTACATATGACAATTCTTAAAGTTTAATGCTTTATGTAGGATAAAATAAGCCTCACCCATCCATAGAATATTCTAGGACCATATTTGTCAACAACCATTCTGAGGAGAGGTATCTTGTGACTCTTGCACCATGCAGATTTTATAGGGGTCCCATTGCAAAGTGGATGGCAACATCTGTCACTCTATAACTAGAGAATGCCATTGCTTAAGCATTTGTGACTGTGTACTAAGAATAGGGAACTGTAAATTGTGGCAGTAGCCATTTCCTCAGTAATGGGCTGCCATCTTTTCGCTGGATGCTCACTAAGTCTTCAGTTTCTAAATTTCTTCATTATCCTTCTTAATCCGTGTCTTACCATGGACCCTTTTTGCAGTCCTTTATAGTGATGCTGTGCTCTAAAGTTACTCATAAAACTTTGTTTTTTATTTGTTCTTTCTTCTTTAAAGGCATGCTTGTCAACAGTAAATAATATTCTGGTACCACTGTTTCATTTTTTATACAGAAGAATGCTTTCTAATTTTCACAAAATGAGAATATTTTCTGTATACAATAAAAGTTGTGAATTAAAGCTTCTGTTAGAAGTGAAAATTTTAACTTCTAACTTTATAGGGTTTCTCTGTCCCCATGGTGTCAGATTTCATTATTACATATTTGCTAGAACAGACAGTAAAAGATTCTGAATTGGAAGCTTTATTTATAATCATCTTGTCAGTGTCACTTGTAGATGGTATAAACAGAAAATGGCATATTTTGCACATTAAGCAGAGCTGTGTGCAAATAAACAAATTGTAAATTTTAATTACTTAATATTTTTACAATGAAACATCTGTTATACTAATACCTTAATAAGATATGGTATTTCAGAAAGCTATACAATCAAAATGATGTAATTAAGGCTTTTTGTAGGAGTTAGCTTCAAGTACCTCACTTTTATAATGTTACTTAAACAATAGTTAATAAATGCACAAATCTGAATAAGTATTACGAAACATATGACTGAATATGGCCGATTTTCATCTGTTAACCACTTGTGCTCTGACGGTCTTCACGGTTGCGGTGCTATGCGCTACAACATAACAAATAGGTAAAGTGTCTCATTTACGCCACTCTGCGTCTGCGAGTGCATGTGTGTGTGTGTGTGTGTGTGATTATGGCAAAGCCTTGAGGGCCATCTACCTAAAGAGTGGGATGCCTTCGTGGAGGACTTTCTAAAGGAAACTGGCTCGTATACACATTGCACATGGGGAAAACCACGAAAACGCCCATGTAGCCAGCCCGTTCGCGGGATTCGAACCTCGGACCGAACTACCAGTGTTCAGTGACTTTACCACTCGGCCGCTGGTGGGCCCGCATCTGCGAATGCAATCCAGAGCTGTAACTCAAGAAATAAACAATCTCGCTGTTAGGCGACATGTGCGCCACATTATTTTCATTTTTGCATGCAGTTTGAGATAAAAGCATCTCGACGTGCGTGGTACGTCTTTTTAGCGCAAGTGGTTAATGTTAAATTCATATAAAGTGTAATAACTACATATCACCAAAGGTCAGCCATCACTTGAAAATATATTAATATGCTTCTGATTTAAATATAATGCTTTTGAGTTGCTTCGGCGTCTGCGAGTGCATGTGTGTGTGTGTGTGTGATTATGGCAAAGCCTCGAGGGCCATCTGCCTAAAGAGTGGGATGCCTTTGCGGAGGACTTTCTAAAGGAAACTGACTCGTATACACGTTGCACATGGGAAAAACCACGAAAACGCTCATGCAGCCTATTCTTATCATGAAGCTTAAATTATATCCTGAAGAGCTGAATGTGCCTCCTGATGTAAATATACTACAGCTGATAAAGATGATAGAGCAGTTTATTGAAAGTAAACATTTCATGTAACACCCAATTGATGAATCATTGTGATGAATCAAAAAAAATTAAATCATTGCATAACATGCAGCATTTAGAATATATAATTTGTGTATATTATCATTTTTATGATAGTCTGGCAAACTATTCTATCATTCTACCAATATATATATATATATATTTCAGGAAATTATTTATATCGTTATTTAGTTTCTTTTTTACACGAATTGCATATATGCAATAGTGTTTTCTCCATTTATCCAAAGATATGATAAATATTTAATGATGTACTTCTTGTACAAAATCAGTTTCCAAAAAGTTAGACAAGTAGACAGATGTATTTCTTGTACCTGCCAAGTAATTTGGCCCATAGGGTGAAAATGAAACTTGCGTGTGAAAAAAGGGCACATTGAAAAGGGTAATTTTATTTGAGAGTAAAATAATTTTGTAGCTTTTGACACAAAAATTTTTAAAGCCCAATAAAAAAGTTGTTTAAAAAAAGGAAAAACTCTTATAAGAATAATTGGAGAAGTTCATGAAGTAACCTTATAAGGCATTTCTCCCGCCTTCTTAGCGTGCTTTCGCGGTGTGGCGGTCTGCACGCTGGGCGCGTATTCCAGAGGTCCGTGATTCGATTCCCGGTGAAGGCTTATTTTTCATCTCTCCTGCTTCCAGTTAACCTAATGTCTCTAATAAACTGAAAGGGTGCTGGATGATGATTCTCCACATCCCAGGATTTTGCGATTGGGTCCTCTAAAACTCCAGTCGCCTTTAAAAGGGGGAGTATATAAGGTATTTCTCCCACCTTCTTAGCATGCCTTCGTGGTGTGGTGGTCTGGTTCGATTCCCGGCGAAGGCATTGCTCATTTTTCATCTCTCCTGCTTCCAATTATCCTAATGTCTCTACAACCTAACCATCAATGTATTCTAATGTACAATGAACAATGTGTTAAATAATGAAGTTCATGGCCCCTATCACCTAACAATAATATATCTAGTTTGCTGTTGTAAATATGGAATATGCATAGTGGGTGTTGAAAATACTAATCTAACATGAGTGTAAAAGAAATTCAGAAATGGGATGCTTTGCTTCAATAATTGACCATTCCTGACCATTTGTTTCTTATCAGAAGGAAAAGAGAAGCTAAAAGAACCTGTGATCAGGAATGTGGCACTTTGAATATTGTAAGTGTGCTTGAACTAGTTGAAAGCACAAGCAAAGCCAAAGAAAGAAAAATGGAAAGGAATCCGATTTGATAACAATTTCAAGTCTAACTTTAAGGGGGGAAAAACTGACATGTTATACAAGACAATATGCCTACTTCCACATAAGCCACTACAACAACAACAAAAAAGCAACAGCAGGCAAAAGTAGATCTCCATACATTCTTTGGGGGGGGGAACAGACAAAAGTAGATGTCCATTCAGAAACTGAGAACAAAACAACAGACAAAAGTAGATGTCCATACACACTCTTGCATTCATAGTAAAAAGCAGTACATTAGAATGTACAGCAAAGTTTCAGATAAGTATACTGTATGTTTTGGTGCAATTCAACAACATTGTGAGATAATAAAATAAATTTAATTATTGGAATCTTTATAGCCACAAAGATTCCTAGGAGTTAACAGTGAAAAAGTTGTATATGAGGATTAAAAGTCAATTAAAACACTTCTATATAAGCCTTCAGTGAAAATGAGAATAAAAATCCAGGTGCATATTATTGGAAGTAAAAGGCAGTAAATCATAAATGCACAAGTGATGCTAAAACGAGTTCAAACTATTACACAGCAAATAATCATCCGTGTAAGGGGATATGTAAATACTGAAATTTTTGTAACAAAAAGAACACACAATTAAAAAAAAAAATGTGCTTCACATTTGCACACTTCCCTAATTTCCACTAGAAATGTTAATTCCCACTTTTCGTCTACAGTTAAATCTCTTTTTATGAACTTAAGCTAAGAATATTTATTTGTGTAATGAAAACCCGTAGTTGATTGAACAAAGGATAACTGAGTTAGACTATTTTCTTGCTTTGATTAATTGCATTTTCTCTCTTTAGTTTTCTTAATAATGCATGAAACATTTCTTGAAATATCTCTTTTCTATAATTATGTTTCATATTTTGAGAAATGCAAGTGCTTGAATGAAGAACTAAGAGAAACTGTCATTTATTGTCTTCATAAACAGTTATGCAACTGTTTCTGTGATTCCTTATAATTTTTAAGTGCTTAACTACA